TGCTCAGCGGATATAGGCCTTTCAAATGAAACTGATAAATTTGGCATACAACTACTTTGAAAATTTAGTTTCTGGTACCTACTCAACAGCACAAAGTCTGCTTTGACTATCATGGCACCCCGGAAATAGCAATTCACAAGAAGAGTGACAAACATACGAAAGAAGTAGAGGAAATATGATGATAGTAAGGATGAGGAACACACACATGGGAGCTGAGACACAAAAAAAAACCTTGTCTTACAGGCTAATGAGGAGATCAATAGAAGTATCGTCACATGAATAATAAGGAGTGCTTCTTTTACTCTCACTATTTTTCTTGTTTTACTACGAGTTTTATTGTACTTGCACTGCAATTAGCTCATATAGTGCCAAAGATTAGAGGTGTTACTAAAGAGTCACATACACAGAAAAGGAGGAGGAGAGATGAGGACGATAGATATTTGACAGAAAATAAGGAGCAAACCACACCAGAACACCCACCAAGCACCCAATCTCTTTCTTCATGCAAATATGTGCACATGGACTATGTTAATGGATCAATAATAGGAATAGGGAAAATAGTTGTGCATAAAAACCAATAAATCTGTCGGTCACTTTGACACAAAAGGTTAGAACCATTTGTCCTAGCCAGTGAGCCTCAGTTACTAAATGATCTTCAGTGCGATATTAAACTTACCCTGGACTTGTGGGAATCGACCCAATTTTCATCCGCACACAGCTAACTCAGCAAAGGGGTATTTCTGAGGGAACAGAAAGAAACTCAATGAGAAAAAGCACTTGGAAAGTGCAGGGAGAGGTAGGAAATCAATAGCAGCCAAGTAAAAGTGAAGTTAAAGCCTACATTTTGATCGTTTTTCACTGACAACATTTTTACACTTCCTACTATCAGTAATTAGTATCACAGAGGCTACCACAAAATCATCAATGCGACAACTGCCTCCAAGAGGTAAGAACAAATGGCTTAAACAAAGGAAATTACCCAGTTTACATACAGTATAAATGAAAAAGTTAATCCAAAGAAATGAAGAGAAATCCTGTAACAAGAAAGAGAGAAGGAATCCACTCGGCTCAAGTCTTCTACATCCCTTACAGAGGGAGTCGTTAGCAATTACAGGGCTGAGAATGGCATTCCACAAATTTTGAATTCTTCCAGTCATGAAGAAGAATAAAAAGTACTCGATTGAATGGTACCAGCCGACACAAAGATGTGCACGCATCTCGGTTTTGTCCAGCGAGCAAATAAAAAACTTCTAAAATTATTATTGTCTTTTATTCAATTCGTTTTTTTATTCTTACTACAATATATCATTATAATACGAAACTCGGAAAAAAGGCGGAAGAGGCATTCGGACGAGCGAACGGCGGTGTTGCAATGAGCGGACAATTCTCAGCCCTGAATTAAAAGCATTACTGTAACCATCTCTACAAGGAATAAAATACTGTCTCAGGGGCTCCTGTCGTCTACAGGTATGATGCTCGTTTCTTATTCAGAAGATCCTGGGTTTGAAACCTGACAGCAACGAAAAAACTGTCTTCTCTAAAATTTTCTCCTTTCACCTGTTCTGCTTTCTGCTTTCATCTCAATTTTCTTACCCCATTCCTAGCTTCCTCCTTTACTCAAAACTTTTCATACTGTTGTACCTACTTCAGGCTCCTTCTTACTACTGTCTTTCAGCCACATCCATGATCTTAAAGCAGGTAAGATCAAACACGTCCCCTTCTCGGATTAGGGAAAAAAATCTTTAGCGGTCCCGAGTGTAAGTTGCGCACGTCAAAGATCCCTTGGTAGTCCTAAACTCAATAAGAGTAGGTTTAAGTGGCCAGTCAGGCAAAATTCAAAATTAATACTTAACAAGACAGAAAATACTTTAGTCAATATAAAAATATACTATAGTACCTTCGAAAAATGATTGTGGCTGCCTGAAGGCAAGGAACCCTATGAAGAAGGAAAGTTACAAGTAATAATCAGTCGCACTGCAGGTTGAAGAACCAGCACTCGACTACCCCTGAGATAAAGCAGGGGAATGCAAAGAAAAAGAAGAAATACTGATTCCTTCATGGTACATGCTCCTTTTCTTTCATTTTATTACTGTATGCACTGGGCCATGTTCTAAATGTTCTACATGACCTATTTGTAATTAGCAGGACTTCAAAAATAAAAATAAAAACAAGGCTCACAGTAATCCCAGCTTCCTCCTCCTTATCTTTCTGGCAACACTCTAAACAGTCGAGCTTGATGGCACCCAAGTTGAAGTCGTCCATCTTCAGGCATGTTGAACACATAAGGTTGTTGGTGAAGCCTTTCAAGGAACATTCTCGCACAAAGTCAAGACTACAATCTCCAACATACACCTGAGAATAAGATGGAACAGAAAACGTAACACAGTACTCAATAAAGAGGAAAATAAATGCTTACACTCTTAGCTATCAACTTAAAAAAACAAACTTATTTATTGTGTTTTTAAAAAAATTAAGAAAGAATTTGTAACAATAGACAACACACCTGGTCCACATCCGACAATTGCATCTCCTTTCTACACCTCATGGTATTATAAGCAAACAGAAAAAATAAAGTAAAAGTGAGTAAACTGAAGGGGACAAATTGCACACCACAAATGTTGCGTTATCAGACTATCATCGACAAATTTCTCAGTGGTAACGAAAGCGAAAGTAGACCTTGATTTTCCCGATCGAGCCTCAGGGTCACATACATTTCCGCCTACCGCCATAGCCGCCTGTTTGCATTTAAATGTACTGTCGGACGGGGAAAAGCTGAACGAATAATATTATCACAATGTGATTTAAAGAATATCTAGAATCTAGATCTAGAGTCTAGATGAGCCATTGCCAAAACGTGGGGAAAAACACACACATCTCACATTAGTGTGCATAAAATGTGATGCATTAGTATTTATTCCTCCAAAACATATACACACGTCAAATATAGGATGTAGAACCTGCATTAGCAGTTTCAGACCCCTTGTCAGCTTTGCAATCTTGAGTTTGTAAATTTTGTGCCAAAAATGTTCGTTTTTTAGTGATTCCTGGAGTGTCATTTTGAGCACACCAATGCAAACTTCCAAGAATGTCCAAAATTTAGTATTTTTGGTTGTGTTTTTTTTATGTGTGCTTTGATTCTATGTTATTTGTCATTGAGAAAGGTTAACTTGCTCAAGAAATCGGTTTATTTGTTTGCAAATAGACGAACAATTCGGATTACTTGTGCGTCTGTCGTGTCGTCACGGACTAGGTGTTTCAGAAAACACCATTATTTTTCAGTAGAATCACCGTAGCTGGTTAAATCTCTTTGCCTATCGTCGTTTATTCAATACTTCAAAAGCCGCGATGTGCGAAAGGAACATCGGGTTCCTAGATCTACGATTTCGGTCGGCTGTTTAACATTCGCCGTTATTGTCGTCAATTTGCGACGTGCCGAAGTCCGAATTTCGCCCACTTTTGTTTTGAACGGGTTATCAAAAGTGCCCGGATATAATTGTTCTCTTGAGTGACTTCCCCTTACCCGCGTCCCGAGAACAACGGAAGCAACGGGGGAAACAGAAAAACGAAAGTAGTCATTGCCTTCAGCGTCCGGTGACGCACAAGAATTTTGCGTTGAATGTGATGTATTGGGCTGTTTTGCGTGTTTTTAGGCTACTCTGTTGAATATTTTAGTGAAATTGCGGTGCTTACACTGGATTCCTGGAACAAGAGTGTGATGTGTGAACAAACTTCGAGAGATGGATCATTTCTGTGGTTATAGATTTAGCTTTTGTGCTCAGTGATGACGTTTGGGGTGTCGTCATGCAGCCGTACAAGACTGACTAACGTACAAGAAATTACATTGTCCTAAGAGCAAACATTTTTTAAGTAATGTGTGCTCTCTTTACTCAAACATATAAACAAACATGTCCTTGTTTATCTGTCTAACTCAAAAATACACATGTTCTTTGTTGGTATGATATACCTTTTTCCAATACATTGTGTCATTGTGTCATCATTGTTATGTACAAGTAATATTTTTCATAATTGCTAATATCAATAAGTTTTCAACATATATTTCATGCATGCAAGATTCATTTAGAAGCAAAATACGCCTTTATTGATCTGTGTATCTCTTAGTGCAAATTTGTTCTTTGTAGGCATGATTTTACCTTTTCCCAGTATGTTTTGTCATCACTGTTATGTACGAGTACTGTTTGTCATAATTAGCCACATAATTGTGATCGTCCACTGTCTTTGATATGACCTGGTATCTGTTTCAAAGCAAAAGAAACCTCTCCTGTTTTTTTGTTTATTTTTAAAGTGCGCTTTTATCTCTGGAGGCAAGACTTTTGTCTTTTCCTGTACATTGTGTCATCATTGGTACAAGTCATGTTTGTCATCACTGTTATGTACAAGTCAGCTCCATTGATTTTGTGCTTTTGCCTCATATTAGTTAAAAAATTGTTTTACACATGTGTTTTTCTGGTACTGAGGCTTTGATAACTGTATTTGTACAGCCTTTCACTATTGTGATGTGTTGTCAATGATAATGTCCAATGTGTATCCTTTCTTGTACATAACAATGATGACATGTTCTGTGCACTGCGTCATTGTTACAAAGCTTGCCATTCACATTACCATTATGAATGGAGTTCATAGTGTACAAAGTGTTTGTTTACTAAACAAATGGAATTTAAAGTCTATAATTTGCCTTGCTGCTTATCTGTTTTTGTCATCACTGTTACATACAAGAAATACAGTAGTTGCCAAACCAATAAACCCATATCTCCAAAACCGTACATCTCCTTGCTCTGATACTCTAGGAATATGAGCACTAAATGTCAATCTGTGACTGACAGAAAAGAGAGTCAAATTGGTAAGAAAAATTTTTTTGCACCACTGAGTCTCAAGGGAGTCTCACGTTTCGGCAATTGCTCAGATAGATCTCTATGGAAGTGGCTTTCCTCACCCGAGGTGAGAATAAAAATACGATCGACCTCTCAACCCGGGTGAGACTTGCCACCGTTGGCTATTCTCACCCGGTGTGAAACAAGACCTGTTTTTCCTAATTTCTGAATACTGTCTATTGGTGTGGATGATCAAATTGATCAAAGCAAAGAAAAAATTACGTATTATAGCACAAAAGTAAGCTACTTTGATCGTCTACAAAGATGCTATGGCTATTTCACTTTTCGAATCGAGCCGAACTACGCGGGTCACCATTTTGTTTTGCTCAGAAGTTCTCGCAAGATCTACTCCTCCCCTCTTCTCTCTCTCTGTCTCTTTCCGAATCTGTCTATCGGTGTGGACGATCAAATTGACAAAAAGAAAGCTTAAAAATGATGTTAAAACACAAAAGTAAATTAATTTGGTCGTCCACAAAGATGCTACGGCTATTTAACTTTTCGAATCGAGCCAAACTACGCGGGTCACCATTTTGTTTTTCCCGGAAGTTCTCGCGCTTCCTCACTCTCTGTCTCTCTCTCTCCACTGCCCAAAGACAAAATTGCACGCTTTTAGGCTAGGCTAACAGTAGAAATGGAACGTTTGTTCACGCCACGGAATTCTACAATTCTGTTATAATTATATCACAGTGTAGAATTCTGTGGTTCATGGTGAACGCAAAACTGGTTGGCCTCGCCTGCGCTATTCTCACCCGGACCCAGGGCCAGGGTGTGAGAATAGGCCGTCATTATTCGGGCTCGAGTCCGAATAACATTTTTTTCATATATTCGGACTCGAGTCCGAATAAGAAAAAATGTTTTTCGGACACGGGTCCGGAGAAAAGGAAGTGTCTTCGTTCTATAGATCTAACGTTCAGTGCTTCCAATTTTCCACCATTTTTTAGTTTCCCCAACACCTTGTCTGCCGATCCGATGCCCACCGCCTCATTGATACGCCCCCCCACCATGTTTCCTACTTTCTTTGTTGTAGAAAAAGGTAAAATTGAAGATAAGCAGATCTCCTGGCACCTGCATATTATGAGCTGTGTAAAAAAAAAAAGACCGATTCGTTCAAATACACAAGCCTGTGTCATCTCGATTGTTTACCAAGAAAAAGTTGTGTTGCTGTGTAGAGCCGAGCATACGGCAACTTTTGATTCCATAGACCAGCTCACAATTCATTACGTAGATCTACGTCAAGACTAGCTTATTATTGTAATAATGATCAGTTTCCGGGGGGGGGGGGGGGATGATAGCAAAATCGATAGCATCCCCCCCTCCCCTTTCCCGACACGCACACACAGCCGCATGTGTGCAGGCCGTCCATCCGACCCCGACACACACTAACGAGCCATCTTTAATTGCTCTGATGACCTCTTGACAAATAAACATTTATTAAACATTTATTAGTCTAAGCGCTGTAACTTTTCAGGCTGGCCTCAAATTCATCATAAGATAAAAACTCGGCTCCGTCACAACTTAACGCCATTTTGCCCGAAGTGATCCCAGTCTCTACCCAGCCTGAGGCTGAGGCGAGTCACGAGTGAGGCAGGACAGGAAGCTGGAGTCACAAGTCACAGGAAGTCAGAAGTGATGTCATGCTGGACAAGAATCAGAGTCCGAATAACATTTTTTCATATTCGGACTCGAGTCCGAATAGTCACTTCGGCTTCGGTGAGAATAGAGGTGGCCTGCTGGCCTAGATCTAGATCTATAGATCTAGAATTATATATTAGATCTAGATCTAGCACTCAGCGGAAACCTAGACTGCAGCGTTGACACCTCAAACAAATGTAAACTCTGAAAAATATCTAGCAGGAATTTAAACTAAAATGCTGCGGTTGCAGATTAGCTGAAGGTAGTGAAGATGCCGTGACAAGATTTGAAGATGACGTGTCGTCGCCGACAGCGCCACACAAGTTTGTTCTTACATTAATTAACTGGTTTCCCGGTACTACTTTAATCTAAAAACAAATACTTTTTCACATCAAATGGGGGATACAACATAAAAGACCGCCATGACTAATTATAATTTGCACATGTCATGTTCTCACCATAAACATTAGCAGAAAGGATACAAGTTGTATCCAATCCGCCATCTTGGCAGAATTTAGTAGTCGATAAATGTACAATTAACGTCAACAAACCAGGTTTCCTTTGGTGGAAAGCTTCGTTCTTTAAACGATTCAGCTTATTTAATGTAATAATAAAAAGAAACGCACACTAGCGAAACATCAAACTAGTTCAACAGTTAGGATAAATCATTATGTATGTAACTTCACCTGAAGCCAAATGCTCCTCAGAAATTAAATTTTTTTTTATTGGGCCTAATTATTATATAGATCTAGATATCTAGATCTAGTTAAAGAGGATTTTCAGCCCCAAAGAAAGAAACACTTTACCAACAAGCAATCTAAATATTATTATTGTTTTTAATTTGGCTATGGGTGTCTACTCTATTATACGGGAATGCTGATAATAATAATTAGAGATTCTGAAAATAAAATAGAAGCAACTGAAAGGCAGGAAGATTCCTTGGAAGGAGGAGGAGTCAAATGAGGTGGCGAACTGAGTCAAGAAGCTCGCGAGTAGGCCTACTGCTCATTTGAAAAAGAGACAAAGGAGTTGTTTTTTTTCTTCCCCACACGCGACGCTTGTTGTTGTTGTTGTTTCTTCTTCTTCTTCTTCTTCTTCTTCTTCTTCTTCTTCTTCTTCTTCTTCTTTCGTGTTATAGTCTCTGGCCTCTGGTTGCACCAGAGCAAGCTGATTGCACTTTTGCATCCTCTCAGGGAAAAGCAAAAAGTACACATAAATTCCAAGGGAGGTAAGTTGTCACTTGTCAGGAGTTTCTCAAGTCTCGAAGAAGAGGGCTGGAACTTGTAAAATAGGCCTAAAATATTGCACTGCGTTGCCCAGAAACGTAGAGGTGAAACATCTGTTTGTTCATTGTTTTAGTAAACTGTGCTTAGACTTAGACGAGTTAACCACCGTGGACATTCTGTAGTGAAAGTGTATCGCTCATCTTTCAAATTGGTGCTTAACCAATTAAAACAAAAATTCTGCATCTTGAGTCTTGAGTCTTGAACTTGAAGTGAAGACGGCGATTTTGTAGTTTCGTTCGTTAAAGTCAAGAGTAGGGGGGACCTACACACCTAATAAAAATATGGGGGGGGGGGGGGGTTCAGCTGGGCATGCCCCGTTTAACTGTATTTCAACCATATAATTTGATGGCTTGCAATTAGTATTGGTATAAAATTCTCTCGTTTGCGGCGCATCAAACATTGTTTGTATCAGCATGTACAGCGAAAACACATACTAATCGCTGGGGCCAAACCAGATTATCCCTGCATTTATAACTCAACTGTAACTTAAGTATGACAGTGCTCGAAACTAAAGTGGTTTCCAACTATTGTAATAGTATGCCTGATAAATGCATGGTCCACTTTAACTTTAAAAAAGCATGCTGGCAGCACAGAACTAAATTTTTCTAATTATTATCGGATAATTATTATGTAGTCGCTTGTAAGTGACATAAAGTGCATATCAATTTGAATCATGAGGATATTGCTTGCAGATTAAAATCTAAGTTTTTAAAGTGGGGCGGGGGGGGGGGGGGGGGGCATCACGAGGATTTGATCTCCCATCCTTCTACCCCTCTCACATATATACACATACACTCAATCATGTGTATGCACACGCACACGCACACACACACACACACACACACACACTCACACACACCAAGTCCTTATTACGGGAAGGGGTGAAGCTGTTACATCGGAAAGTGCAACATAGGCAGGGTCAGCTGTAAATGGAGCCGATTCTCAGTCGCAGTGTTTGCACTTGAAGGGAGGTTGTGTTGCTCTTGGTGAGAGGGTGTGAACTGCACTCCTGTCCTGTACTGTAAGTCTAGTAGTGTATTTTAAAAAAACCCTCAAACAGCTATTGTGAGGGAATTGAACAAGAGAAAATGGATGCACCCCACTGAATTTACTGTACATAGGCCATTCTCATTGTTCACACTGTTTTGGAAACATCAAAAAATCTTTTTGCAGACAATATTTTTCAATGAAGGTTGCTGTTGAAGGAAAAGGTTATTATGCTCTTAACTAGGGTAGGCACCACGACTCGCACCCCCCCCCCCCCCTTCCCAAATCGTGATTTGCGATTGCTACGACAGTGCGCGTTTGATGTTTGCAAGCGTTTGACGAAATGACTGTCTCCATTCAACCTTGTGGATTTAGGGTGCACGACATGACTGCACGGTGTGATTTAACCAATTCAATACAGCTACACCACTGTCAAACTTTCAGGAGCTTGTGATTCAATTTCATTTCTACTTAAAATATTCTGTAGTCTAGTTATATAATACATTTTTGCTTTTTCAGGGTTTTTTCTGTTCCAAATCTGTAGGGTAACAACTGATTTCCAAGAAAATATTAGCACTGCGATGTTCATAAATTTGTCCTTCTTACAGATACTGTCGCCCTTGAAAAAAGAGCTGGGTTGGATGGAGTGTGGTATTTATTCTCATGGCGACTTCATTTAGGCGAGACGTGTCCATCAACTTAGGACTTTACAGCGATACTCTTGGAGATGTGCCGAAGAAGAGGCAATCCCTTTTACGAGTAAGTTCCTCTCAGTTTGAGCTAAAATTTGTAGACTTTACTTAAGTGATGTCTGCTACATTATGATTTTGTAATCACTTGCTTGGAGATGTACTGTTTGTTTTTGAATGCATGTATTTTTTTCAAATGTTGAATTATATTGGAATTGTCTAGTCTTTCTACCTTTGATTTATACGTAATAAACTGAAATAACTCATTGTTAACTTGGGCACTGTTTACTAAAAGTGGCAAAACGAGAAAAAAGTAAATGCAATTATATTGCATAAAATCGCTAGCCGCGTGATTCAACCGTCTAAGTGCCATGACAAATTTTACAGAAGATAAAAACTGTTTTTTATTTCTTTGAATACGCACCTGTGAATCTGAAATTCAGATATGTATGTGATATATGAAGTAGGACAATGGTATGTAACCAGTTTTTATTTCTAATTGCTATGTTACATAAAAGTTACTGCACTAAGGTGTTTGAGGCCTACCTAAATCTGCGTGATTCAACCACCTAAGTGACAGTATGGCGTCTACACGTTTGAATCACATTAATCAAAGCCATTCGACGAGCGCCAGTGGTCGCTTGGGCGTTTGAATTATGAACAGAAGCAAATGATAACAGTTTTAAGAGTGATTATGAACCTTTTCAATTTTGTTTCACATTTATTTTATGCACACCAAATGAAAAAAATCAAGCAAGTAGCATTTAAGATTAGCAAAATAATCATAGTTTGCTTGAAAGACAAAGTGAATCGATACAAGTAACATGAAATTAATTTACATTCTTCCAAACTTGTATTGTCTTTATATAAGTAAAGACATAAATATTTAAAACCAAACAAATGCGTTGTATATTCTGGTCTTGTTTTTTGTTTGTTTTTTTAAACACCTCCTCCTCCCTGCCCCAGCCTCTCGAGCCTTTTAAAATCTAACCATAGAAGGAAATATTGTAGTAAACTTCACTAACAAAACTGAAATATTCTTGTTATTAATATTATAAATTAGTTGGTTCGTTGACTCCTAGTGTTTCAGATTATCATAGAAAGAATTATGATCTTTGGGAATCACGCTTTTGAGTTCCTGTAGGTGGTTGTATTTTGATTGGTGAATTTTGAAACTATCCGAATACAGTGGGATTGGAGCTTCTGGAGCAGAATTGTTTTGTCCTCTTGGAGTGGGTAAAAAGCCCATTCATACTCATGGTTTGATTTATACTGAATGCTTCTGTCTGATGTGTATTGAAGACAACGAATGTTTGAAACGATGGGATCGCCTTTGCTGCGGCCAGGTCTGATAATTTTGTACTCTATGGTTTTGGGGGAAAAAAAAGAATGATCCAAAAGTCAAACATGGAAGGGGATGGATTTTGTCTTACTTTCTTTAAAACATTCACATACACTCCATGGGCACATAGATCAGAATGTTTTTCAGTGACCTTTCGGTTAAACTGTGTGTGCTGTCCACTTCAATTTGTGTGTGTCCTTTTTCGAGGTATTAATGCTCAACTACTTTGTTTTGTCTTATACAAAAGTCGCTGATGGCATTCGACAGGGTAGCGTTGTGGTTCTAATGCGTACAACCATCACTGTATATAATGAATTTGTCATATTTGTCAACGTGCTCTTCCAAGAAGTTTATGACACAAGAAGAGAATTCATCTGCTGTCAGCGCTCCTTCTCCTTTGTGCCAAATGTAACACTTTGCATCTTTGGTGACCAAATTAACTGTTGTGAAGTTATGGAAACTTAATTTAGTCTTGTAGTGTAAATCAGATGTTTTCAAGGCGGGCGCTGACAGGACATCTTCGAAGTCCATGCACACTATACATAACCTTGTCCCATCCACTGGATTTTGTGCTTATTTTTAATAGGATTCCTTCTCCTGCCTTTCTCAATTGTTTTTATGTTTCGACATACTTTTCCCATTCTTCTTGACACAAGTTTCCTTCCCTATATATGCGAAACACATACATCGCATTGATCATTTCGGGGTGCATACAACGACAGGTTGCTCTTTTGAAACATCTCCCTGAAAGTTGACTGGGACACTGCATACCGATTTTGCTCTTCACATTTTCTTTGATACTCCTTATAAAGATCTGCAATGCTTTGAAAGTGTGATTCAAGGTAAAGTGTGCCTGTATTCTGTCTGCCATAATGGGAAGGCATTTTGTTAAGTTTATCAAACAAACCCTTCTCTAGAAAATGTTTGTCGTATTCTGCTCTCTGGTAATATGACAACCGTGGAGCTCCCGTGTCCGAGTCATGTGAGCCCTCTTTGCAGCAATAAATAAATCACTGAGTGAGGGCAGCTGTATTAAAAAAACATTGTTTTGTTAAACAGGGAGAACGTCATTGGAGATTCATTTCAAATGAAACTGTAGAGTCAAAGGCCTACTTTGGGAATCTGATGACCCTCTCCTGCGTTTCACAGGAATTTGATGCATAGGCTCCATAAGTATTCAAACATTGCTTCTCTATCCTCGTTTGTTAATTCTCAACATCATTTTGTTGAAATAGATTTACATGAGCATGGTTCTTTCATTTCACGAGCAGCAACAGCAGTAGCCGTACCTGTGTTGCCAGATGCATCTTCTGCAGGAGGAGTTGTTGGACTTTGGGAAGAATAATGTACCTCGTTGGCTGTGTACTGAGGTTCTGCATTAGAAGTAACAGGATCGTTGGCAGTGTACTGGGGTTCTGGATCTGAAGTAACATTCTTTGCCATATCGACAGACCGAAGGGCTAGAACCCAAATGGCCGCTGGATCGGAAAAGTAAAGTAAAAGTAAAGTATCTGAAGTAACAGGATCAAGATTCAAGAATGATACATATGGCACACACACAGCAAAAAGCACTCACTTTAAGTGAAACAAGATTTGTGTAAATCTCAATTTAGAGAGCTATACCCCAATCCCAAAGTGATATTGACCTATAGGTGTACTCTACTCGAAACTCAATGATCCTTAACTAGCTGTCAATCACAGACAGTTTGAAATTCATTGGTCAGTAGTTTTTGCAACAATTCACAGGCTTGGTCAAGTCTGCTTTAAAATTTCCTTTGATGTCATCTCTCAAAATCACAACCCAACCTAGATGCGAATTGATTACTCAAACTGTCTAGACAAAAATTTCTGGTAATAGGTAGGTGTAGGAGTCGAGGTGACACTTTTCTTTGTTGTTACCCCTCAGTGCGCCTCGACAAAGGCCACAGTCGCATGGGTCGGTCCGCCTACGTGACAGGTGAACACCTCACAAGCCTTTGAATCACGTAAAATTTTCGAACTTGTGGACGTGGGCTATTTATTTACTGAAGGATTAAAACGCTTTGCAATAATCTTTCAAACTTGGGATTTTAACATAAGATGTATCTGAGGTTATACCACGTGAAGGGATAAAAAAGTGATTTTCGAAAATTTTGTCACTTAGACGGTTGAATCATGCGGCTAGCGATATATAATGTTACTACTTAGAATTGTTCCTACATTTGAAGTCACTGAAGAAAGATCTTTTAAAAATTGTAAATTCTTTAAGAGTAATAAGATTTTTTTTAAAATTACAGTACTTAAATCAAAATATAATTTTTCAGGAAAATTAGAGATATCGTCTGACAAAAGTGATGAAAGTGAAACAATGATGCGATATCACAATGTACTGGAAGAACATGACATTGATACGATGTGCTCATACTTCAAATGAATCTATTATTTTATTCTCTTTTTTTTGGAATATTTGCAAATTCCAAGATCAAGATGGAAATGGTCTTTCAAAAGGCAGAGCTTCAATATAGAAGGATGGAGAGAAAGCAGAAATAATACACCAATGTAAATATAATTTTTCTAGCTGGGTTTCCTGTTCGATGATCGGACTCAAAAGAATCGATCGTCAAGTCATTGTGGGAGCAATGCATGCAATCTTTGTGAACGGAAGTCTCACTAGTTTACAATGGCGTCTTACGAGATGGACTTTCACAAGATTAGATCTAAACGAAACTAATGAAAAACTGAAAATTAAACTACAGTGACTTCAGACTCCTCAGTAAAACTGTGCACCCTTTAAATGATTCTGACCTGTAGATTTTTTCAAATTCGAAAGTCAAGCAGTTCCAAAGTTTTAGGCGGCCAAAATGACGTACTTTCACAAATATTAATATGTATCTATAGATAATTGGACCTTCCCAAAACAACCGGCCCTTTTCAAGGGGTAAAGTGGTCATCTTACACAGATTGTTCTCTTGGACTGTGTCAATATATATTAAGGAAAAAATGCAATGGGAGGAAGTGGTTGTTTGTACTGGTCATTGCCTTGGACAGGTTGTCTTTCGAGCAGGTTTGACTGTAGGCTATAATGTCATGTCTATATGTGTCACGACGCATGGAATCAGGCGCTCGTCAATTTTTGGGCATGAGGAGTTATTGGTATTACTTGGAAGCTGATTTATCTGCCTTGCTTCCAATGAAATAAATATCCATCTATCTTGAACAGAACTCAAGATAATTGCGACTGAAGGAAGGGAGGTCGCCTGGTGAAATTAGTGAGAAAATGGCCGCCAAAGTTTGGTAACATCAATAGCTAAAGTCTTTGAAAACTGAAAAATGGCATACGTGTATTTGGTGTCTTTAATCAGTGTCTTTCAGTAAAATTCACATGAAAATGTGTTTTGATATGAACATGAAAGAGGTCAAGCCAAAAAATAGAAATTCGATAAAAATTTCCAATTTGGTGGAAAAATGCCTGTTTCTCCAATTCTATTATTTTAACGAGCGCCAGATTTCACCACGCTGCCTCACATATTTATTGACATTCATGTGTTATTCTTCCCTCAGAGTGGTTTCACTTGCCACCAATGAACAGTGAGTAGATTAATTATCAAGGCCTGATTTTTTTTCGAGGAAGGGGAAGGATTTCATTCTTTCATTTTTTTATATGTCATTTGTAAAAAGCTGTTCTCAAGATTTTTTACAATGCAGATCTATGATCAAGATGATTTTTCTTTCTATCTATTCCTATTAGTCATGGAGGAGGTTGTCAAGCTTACAGCGTTTGATCTGTGGAGTCTTGTTCATTTGCACAGTCATCATCATCTTTTATGCTCTCCCGAGTAGAACATCAGCCCCTGCCAAAAGCATACAGGAGGACAAGGAGCGGCTTCTACCAGTTGACTCTATTCCTGATCCGGACCAAAACTCGATAGTTGATGATCATGAGAAAAATCTGCAAGTTTTGAAGGAAAAGGTACCTGCAGCTGGGGGTTTTAATTCTTAATAATAATAACAATTTAAATAGCATTTGTATATTTGGCATATCCTCGCTCAATAGCAAGCTCTATGCGCTTTACACTGTATTATTACCCCAGCAGACAATAGACCTCTCAGAAATATTACCCCTTCCTGGGAAGCATACAGTGCATGCAGCTGATTAAGGGCTCAAACATTAACAAACTGACAAGATCTTTCACTGTCTATAGCTGGGTAACCATTCCCACCTGGGTGAAGTGAGGGAATTCATGTATAGTGCTTTTCCCAAGGACAAAACATTGGGCCCCTAATAGGATTTGAACCCTCGACCTTACGGTAAACTAACCACTAGGCCGACACCACCGACTTTGGATGGCTGTTTTCCTTTGTTGCAAAATGTAATTGTATGTGCACACTCGATATCGCAAGTTCAGGCCCGTGGTAGATTTACAATGTTGCATCAACTTAGGTTTATTATACCACTATCATTTTCAGTGGTCATTTTTACCGATTACCAATGATTATTTCAGCTGAGTTACCCGAAGAGCATATGATCTAGTATATTTCCTAAGAATGCAACATCGGTTGGAAAGAGGAATCGTTTTATTTGCAAGTCGAATGTCTTCCCAGCAATGTTTTATTTGCAAGTCGAATGTCTTCCCAGCAACATTTTATTTGCAAGTCGAATGTCTTCCCAGCAATGTTTTATTTGCAAGTCGAATGTCTTCCCACATGGCCAGGACTAGGAGACCATTTGTCATTCTCATCAGTGTACACTGTTTCTTTCTTTTCTATAGGCAAGGGAAGACATTGCTAAAGATCAACAAAAGCAAGAGGAGGGTAACAGAGAGCAGATGGTGAGACACAAAGGAATTTGAGTGTGTGTAGCTATGTGTTGTATTCTGTGTACACTGGTGGCTCAGCTTGTCATCGCTGTGGCTTTTTTGTGTAGAAGGATGTCGACGGTCCCTCTGCAGTGTCTGTCTGTCTTGTTTTTTATGTGGTTGCTGAAGTATCGTCACTTTATCCTTGTGATTCATGTTTCGCAAACAAGCAAGCAATCATGTATTTCCTGTACTGTCACCTTTGAAGTTTAGTTTCTGAACAGATTCAGAAATATAAAAAAAAATAGCTTAACACTAACATACCATTGGCTACTTTAGTTGCCAGGCCGTAGTATGCGCTCACTACCACTGAGCATTTTTTACTTTATGAGCCTTCGGTACTGTAAGTGTTAAAGCAGTTATATTTCTTGTGAAAAGTTTGCAAAGTCGACTACAGATGAGTTGGTGTCATCAAGGGAATGAAAGAAAGATTTACTCATCCGAAGTTTTTCTTAAAACATAATCAAGGTGCATAACAAAATATTTTCTTCTGCTCATAATTTTAATTTTTGTAGGCTGCTGCCGTAAAAATGGTGGCAACAGGAAAGGTTACTGAGCAATATTTATTCACTCATGTCATTAATCACTGTATGCTCTCGCATATGTGTGTGAGAGAGTGAGAGAGGGGGGGGGGGGAGTGGGTGCAAGCATCCACTGATGGCAAATACTAACAATACATGTGTACTAACATATACCTCTACGAAGAACTCACTCTATCACTGCAGCTGATTATGTTGTATTCCTGAGGACGGTAGTACTATCACTTTTTTTACACGGCTGGTTGGAGGGTGCCACTGGCAGGTCCTACTTCTTTACTTTTCCTCTGTTGTTTCTGTCTGTCTGTTTAACCTTTTCCCAGCACTAAATGACCATTATTGTGTCGATGTGCTTCTTTTTTACTCAAACAATTTCATTTTTTGATATGTCCTGTTTTCTCACTATGTACAATGTCCGTTATAAACCAGCTTTAAATTACTGAAATCCCTTGAAATGTGAATATTATTCGCGGAAAGAAAGTTTTACACTGACACATTTTCGACATAGCTTTTAAAGAGTTAAAATTCTAACTAGGACTCCAGACTTCAGAAAGTAAAAGTCATGCTCAGTTGCAATCAAGAGTACATTTTCAACCGAGCATGTCATTCCAAAGTTTTACTGTATTACTCATTGTCTTGCGGTGCACCATACCATTTGGCATTGGCAGGAGGGGAAGCAATGACGGACATGGTTATTGCTTCGTTACATCAAATGTACTCCTGCTCTTGCACTCTCCTCACTGTTTCATTGAGGTAATAAATAATAATAATAATAGATAGCATTTGTATAGCGCATATCCCCGCTCAACAGCAGGGTCTATGCACTTTACACTATATTATTACCCCAGCAGACCATAGAACACTCCGAAACATTCTCAGCTTCCCGGGAAGCATACAGTGCGAGCAGCCAATTAAGCGCTCAAACACTAACAAACTGACAAGATCTTTCGCTGTCTATAGCCGGGTACCCATTCCCACCTGGGTGAAGTGAGGAAAATTCGTGTAAAGTGCCTTTCCCAAGGACACAACGTCGGGCCCTTGACGGGATTCGAACCCGCGACCTTACGGTTGCGAGGTATAATGTAGGCATATTATTGCGCGTTGATCAGCTCTACATAGCTGTGTTTTTTATTTTAAGTATCACTAGTGTAACATGTGGGAAAAAAATCAATACAACTGTTGTATACAATACTTGCACTTGCAGTGGGGGAATTCAACTTTACCGTTTGACTTTAACAAATGTAAAGAAGAAGAGATGCTGGGACCTGAGAAAAAAGATCAACTTTATCGGAAGATCAGCTCAAGCGAGTTCAACACAAGTGGAGTCGACTGTAGTATGCACAGATAGTTGGTGGATATCCCATGGTCTGACCCTACTTCTGTTCTATACTGTTGAAGTCTTACTACCTTTCAAGCAACGATGCTGAAGATTCAGTTTTTGTCACAGGCTGTGTGTGCCATCATAAATAGTACAAAAAAGTATACCCCTGGCAGTAAAGTAAGGCATGAGATTTTCCCTTTTTGTCCTGTAGGATATGTCCTTTCAGTTGTTCTTTCAGCTTAAAAGAGGCACTGTACACTGTACTGTGGCGACCAGCAATGGTGTGTTTTGTAATATTGTCATTATTGGTGTTACATTATGTTTTATATGTGGTTTATGAAACATTATTGTTTTATACATAGTAGGCTATGAAACATCATTGTTTTATGCATAGTAGGCTGGAGGGCACGGCACCACTGGTAGATACTACTTCTTTACATTCCCTCTGTTTTTTTGTCTGTCTGTCTTACTTTTTCCCAGCACTAAATGACCATTATTGTGTCGAGGTGCTTCTCTTTACTCAAACAAACATTTTTTTATACTGACATTGTATATAAATTACTAGCTGGGTACCCGTTCGATGAACGGACTCAAAAGAATCGATCATAAAATCATTATGGAGTCAGTGCACACTGCTTGTGAACGGAAGCCTTACTTGTTTACAATGGCGTCTTGAAAGATGAACTTTCCCAAGATTAGTTCTAAAGGAGACTAATGATAAACTGAAAATTAAACCACAATGACTTCAGACTCCTTAATATAACTGTGCATCCTTTAAATGATTCTGAGCCATCGTTAATTTTTTCAAATTGGAAAGATATGTGGTTCAGAAGTTTTAGGTGATCAAAGTGACGAAATTTCACAAATATTATATTATATATATAGATGACCCACATTACTCATATAGATATCGGCCGTGTAGTGTAAGACTCCACCATGTGCTATTTTGAAAAGTGACGTATGATAGAGCATTACACTGAGCAGTCAAAATCTAACCAAAAATTAATACAGTTGGATGTATCATAGGTCAGTTGTTGTTTTGTTGTTTTTTTTTGTTTTTTTTTTTGGGGGGGGGGGGTTCCTGAAGTCACAGATTCTAATGTCTCACTTTAGCACTCAATCTAATAATTGCTTTGTGTTCTACCAAAAGTATGATAAAGTTTGTTATGTCAAATTTTTTAAGATGATGTTTAACCCTCTAGTGCCCACAGTGCCATATCTGGCACATGTCAAATAACCAGCTTCAGGGGAAACAGTAATTAATTTTTGTTATGTTCGGTAATTTCATGAGGTAGGTAACTGGAGAATCATCCTCTGAGTGCCCCTGGGTGATTTTTTTCTGCAATAATTTCCCCTTTCAACTTCCTGTTTTTTACCACCACTTGTGCTTGAAACAGACAACCGCACCCACTCTTCTTCCGTCTATCACCATCAACCGTCAGGTACATAATTTTGTCAATTTTTCCTAATAAATGTTTTGAAACAAAGTAGATTTGTGAAGCGTGCTGACGAAATGAGTTACTTCTCGCAATCCACAAACGGAAATATTGGCCAAAAGTCCACATTATAGGGTCCAATTAGTAGATTTCTATTGATGCCACATTCTTTTTGTATAACGTGTCTTTTATTATTCTACACTTATAAATTGTAAAAACTTCACCCAGTAGCGTGATGTATCTATTTCCATAAGGCTTGGATCCGAGAAGTAACTCATTTTGTCAGCACGCTTCACATTTAGATATTATCACCTTCAAATTCCATGTTCAACATTTACATTTTGATTTATGGGGATGTTTTTAGGTATGGTCTAAATATGGCACACTGGGCAGCCCTGGACGTTTTTGTGTGCCAGATGTGGAACATTGGGCATTTGAGTCCTGATTTTTATCACATAGCCCTGTTTCAATGTAAAATGTCAAAAAGTTCAAGTTGACTGGAAAAATAAAAAAGCAGATTGACTTCATTTCAGTGTAAATACATACAGTAAACAGCCTTTAGACTGTATGAAAGGGTTCATAAAGTTATTTTTCTCTATACAAGTGTATTAGTACAAACTGTGAAACACACACTACCGGTACTTAATTTTTTTCTTGAAACGATTGCATTTTGTCAGCAATGAGACTCATGATGACAGCACAAGCAATGGTCGTGTATGGAAACTCCGTCCGTGGATCAATGATCTAAAATCCAATTTCAAAAAGATTATTCCGTGTAAGCATCAGTTTGTTCATGAAATTATGGTATCTTTCAAAGGTCGGTGTAGTCTGAAACAATGCATTCGGAAAATACCCTACAAATGAGGTTTCAAGTTGTGGGCTTGTTGCGGAAGTGAAGGCACTCTGCACGACTTTGATGTGTATCAAGATTCAAATGGAGTTCATACTCGTAGATCTGAACTAGGCATGGGAGGGGATGTTGTCATGGACATGGTGAAGAACTTGGAGGATGGAAAGAATTACAAAATGTTTGCCGACAACCACTTTTCGAGCGTAAACATGGTGAAACAGTGGAAGGAAAAAGGACTGCAATAAGTGGGAACTGTCCATGAAAACCTCTTGAAAGGTTGAAGGCAGAGTCTAGTGGATGCTGACTCCAATATCGTCGTCGTTCGATGGTATGACAACAAGAAAGTGGATGTCATTTCGTCATATGTTGGACCAGAATCTGTTGAGAATGTTACCAGGTGGGACAAAAGACTGAAGGAAAAACTGCAGTGAATTGCTTTGCTGTAATTCGCACGTACAACAAACACATGGGAGGGGTAGATTTATTTGATTGTCTCACCGCTCTCTGCAAAGCAAAAGTCAAGACTCGAAATTGGTACATTTATTTGTTCTACGACACAATCAACATGGTGGTAGTCACCAGTTGGCTGAGATATCGTCGTCACTGCAGGATGCTTCAGCAGTCCCCAGTCAAGCTATGTGACTTCCATGAGTCGATTGCTGACAGTCAGGTTTCCGTCGGAAAGTTGCCAGGACGATCTGTAGCTGGGAGTCCTCAGTTTCTCTCACACTCTAGCACTCAAGAGAAGTCCCCAACTGTTGACTCACAGCTCCATCGCATGGATCGTCTTCCTCTCCATGCCGACCGGCAACGATGCAAACGCCCCAGATGTGACTCAAGGACCTACATCATGTGTAAGGAAGTGTATGGTTCATCTCTGTCTGAACAAGGAGCGAAACTGTTTTGAAGAATTCCACCCAAGAAAAACAAGATATATTTGTTCAACGCTACCCAGTGTGACATATCTGGCACATAATACCCAAATGCCCAATGTGCCATATATGGCACGGTCTGTAACTTTTTAAATACAAGTTTTAGATGAAAGAAACTTTCAAATTTGGTTATTGTACTTCCTTTTGAACATGTTCTGTGAAAATGAAATTTTTCTGTCAATGATTTCTATACCTGGGCACTAGAGGGTTAAGAAATGCAGATGTCAAAATAAAAGTTATATCAGAATGAAGTTTTTTATGGCACAAGTAGGAGTCTTGTCAGTACAGAATTCTTCAAACCCAGATATTTGTCATCCTGTGAAAGTGAAGGCATAGCTTCTTTTTTCTTCCTCATTTGAGGGACAGATTTTTTTAAAGGAATGACAAATAAAATTTGTGTACTAAATTTAGAGATTTTATACAGCTTTTATCCATTTAATGTTTTATATTTCTTGGCCAAAATCTATTCAAACCTTGGGAAATAAGTGCTTATACATTGAGCCTTTCACTTTAAAATTCCTCATGGCTGTTGGTATATGATTATTTTTTCTTAAAGCATGATGGCCGTCTACAAGGAATCAGTCCCAGCCTTGTAAGTAATAGTGTGTGGAACCATCTTGCAAAACAGTCAGCTCAAGACGCAGTGCCATTCCTAAGTCAAACTCTTCTGGCAGATCCGAAGAGGGTACAAACACAGGTCAAACATTCAACTTTTCCCTCTTGGTGTAGGTGAAAGGTCACACCCTTATCCTTTTTGCTGACCACCGATTATTATTTTTTAAAATTCTTTGTAAGATTCTAAATGAAATTAGTTTGTAGATTTTTTTTTTAAATATCCGCCTACAAATAATCTTTAGTTGTTGTTTTTTTTAAGTTTTTCTTTTTCATTTTCAGGTACGCTGGGTTATTTTCCCCCTCAATATGTGGACGTAGGAATCATTTCAAAATTTGATTTATTTTCATGCTTTCTAAAATTATTAGCTTGTTTATCTGATTTTCATGTATTGAGTTGCTTCCTTTCAGGTAGTTGTGCACAGACTATATTATGACTAGTTTTTTAAATTTTAATTCAACTATGTTCCTATTATCAAAAACACATGTTGTTTTACTTTTCAAGCAAAGTTGTTCATCCTGTGAGGGGTTTGCTCTTTTGGTCACACACAGAACTTATCTGCAGGACTTTTGAGTTTTTTGTATTATGTTTCTACCTCTTATGTTATTAGGGTGCTGTGTTGTGTTCTGCACTGTCTGTTTCTTTTCAGTTGTCCAACTTAATTTTTGCTGCTTGGTCCTAGCTATATATACCTTAATATATTGTAGACTATTGATTTATTACCTTCTTTAATAAATTATGCTTGTTTTTGGCCTCGCAAGATTAGCTGAGCCTGTCTTGGAGTGGGTGGATTGTTAATTGTTAAGGATAGTCTTGTATAAAGTTTTACTTCTACATGGAAGTCAAGTAATAGGGGAGGGGGGGTGCTTCGTTATGATCATTCCACGCTCTACAGCATGCTCGATGCGTGTTACATTTATTATTACCCCAGCAGACCCTCTGAAACATTCTCAGCTTCCCGGGGAAACATATAGCGTGAGCTGCAGATATCTTGAGCTCACTCACTAACAAACTGACAAGATCTTTCGCTGACTATAGCTGGGTTCCTATTCCCACCTGGGTGTAGTGAGGAAAATTCATGTAGAGTGCCGTTTCCCAAGGACACAATGTCAGGTTCTTGGCGGGATTCTTATTCACAATCTTGTGGTTACGATTCCGAGAGCCTAATCATTAGTCCACTGATGCCACTACAGCTTTAGTGGAATGACACCCAAATGTCGCCAATTCTTTTTTGTGATATGTTGGTCTTGGCTCTGATCTAGAAAAAAGTAAACACTCAAATATCCACATGGATGTTTGGTGGGTGCTCTGGTGTGGTTTGCTCCTTCTTTTTGTGTTTGTTACTCTCTTGTAACACCTCTAATCTTTGGCAGTTATTTGACCTAACTTTGTTGCAAGTGCCATAAGACGTTTACTAAAACAATAAAACAAATCCAACTAAACCAATAAAACAAATTTCCATTATGTCGGGCCTGCCTTCAAAATAATTTGTTCTGGTGCCTAGCAAGAACCTCCTTGGAAGTGCAGAGGTTTAATAGAGCAGTTTACCACTTGCACACATATTTTTTTATCCTGAATAAAAAACAGAAGGTGTCATTCTTATTGCCAGTAAAAGGGATAGTAGATTGTTACAGGGTATCAGTGGTGGCTTCTGTTTCTTTGCTATCTGCTGTTTCTTTCTTTCTGTTTTGTCCCTTTCCCTGCACTTAATAGCCAGGTTTATATTGAAGTATTTATCTTTTGCTTAAGTGATATCGGACTAGAAGGTGTGGGTTGTTGGCAGGTGCTCTGATGTGGTCCGTGCCTTCTTTCGTACCAAACATTTATCGTCCTTATCTCTCCTTCTTTTATTTGTATGTTACTATCTAGATCGAGTAACACCTGTAATCTTTGGCACTTATATGACTTAATTGTGTTGCAAGTGGCATAAAACTCTTATTAAACTTAACTAAGGCCAGAAGTTAAATGCTCAGGGGTTTGTTTTTTTCTTGACTTGGTTTATTCAGTGATTTTATTTGTTTGTGTTTTGCAGCTACCACCTGTGGATGAGCACAGCCTCAAGTATGACTACTTTGGCGGTAAGTGATGCTTTATCCCTTTGGGCTCTAGGCATGGGTACACCAGTTGTGTTTAAAACTGACTGTATGCCAAGCCACAGGTACAGCGGTGAGCTAGCCGTATCCCCAGCCCGGCCCACCTTGGACAAAACGCACATTGGAAACTGTGTTTACTACTGAGGACGTTATTGGTTATTTTGAAGATCTTTTTGAACAAGATGCTCACAGGTAATGACAAGAACTACAGCGAGTGGGATATGGAATGTGATTCTGATGATCACATGAATGTTGGTAATATATTGCTCAGGAGCTCAGGCAGAGGGGCATAGTAGCCTCAGGAAGTGGAGGCTCAAAGGGTTACGGCTTTATGGAAAAATGAAAACAAAAACATCGATGTAGGCCTACTATTTTCTGTCACAATGACCCCCCTCTCTGTTCTGTGATACCAGAGGCCAAATGTAGAGTGGAAATCAACATGGAAGTCTCACCTTTTGGAGTACAATGCTTTGTTGAGAATTTTGCTGACTTTCTACTGCTACGCCTCGGCTCATTCTTACTGCTGTCTTTCAGCCACATCCCTGATCCCATGGTAGGTAAGATCTAACACCTATGCTTCTCGGATAAGGGCAAAAAATCTTGGAGGTCTCGTGTGCACGTTAAAGATCCCTTGGTGGTCCCAAAATCAGTAAGAGTAGCCTTTACTGAAAAAGTTAAATTTACCCCTGGTGCTCGTACGATCTTAATCTTATGCAGTAGCGAGCGCTGTAAAACACTTACCAAAACAAACATTTGTTGAGAATGGTGTTTTTCTCATGCTGTATCTTGCTGACATATCTTCGTTCTGGGTCAGAGTGGGTGGTTGGCAGGTGCACTGGTGTGGCTTGCTCCTTCTTTCCGATCAAACATCTATCATCCTGGTCTGTCTCCATTCATTTTTCTTTGTGTTTGTTACTTTCTTGTAACACCTCTTATCTTCGGAACTTATATGACCTTATTGTGATGCAAGTGCAGTAAAACTCTTACTTAAAGTGAAAACTAACGTCGGAAGCTGAAAATAGAGACCAAACCTAAATTTGATGTCCCTTTTCTTATATATTGCAAGTCTGTGTCGTTACTTCTCTCTTGCTGCAGGCCAGAAGCAGAACGACAAGCAGCTACAGATCATCGCCGCATTCCGCCACGCCTGGCAGGCGTACAAGAAGTACGCATGGGGTCACGATGAACTGCACCCGATCAGCAAGACGTCTTCGGAGTGGTTCGGCACCGGCCTCACTCTGGTAGACTCATTGGACACTCTGGTCATTATGGGACTCAAGGAGGGTGAGTTGTTTGAAGGGGCCAGAGAGAGAGGTTGATGGAAGGGGAGATAGTTAAGATTGGAATGAGAAAGGGGGTGAGGAGGCTTAGAGAAGGATGGAGGGGGACCATGAGAAAGATTTTGAGAAGAGGGCAGTGAACAAAACAAAGAAACCTGAGAAAGATATGGGAGAGTGGGGTGGTGAGAGAAAGAGAAATGAGAGAGAGAGAGGGGAGAAAGTAGGGAAAGGAGAATGAAAGAGAAGAGGGAGGAGAACAGGCCTGCCTATTTGTCCCGGTTTTCCCGGAACGTTCCGTTTTTTCACCAATTTCGAGGCCTTGTCCCAGTGTCCCGTTTTCGCTACACCTCGTCCCCTGTTTCCGTCGATCTCAAGACGGCTGCAAAAATATCCCGTGATTATTTCGTTTCCGTGCAGCGGATGAAGCATAGTTTTTATTTCGCCGAAAATCAATAAACCCTGCTTCATGTTTAGTTGCCAGAAGAGTGCGGATAGCCAACTTGGGACAAATTTTGGCCTTCCACGCTATTCTTATCTGGCGACACAATGTTTTTTTATTCGGCCTCGACTTTTTTTTGGGTCTTTTTCGATTCGGCATCAATATTGTTTCTGTATCTGACTTTCTATCTTCACTTCATCGTACAGCACAGCATCTTTGTGATTTGGACCGCGTGCGACGCATCAACAACCAGCTTTCCTAAGATCTAGACCTAGATTATTTCTGCTTTTCTGCTAATTTCTTGATTACTTTCGATATATAGGATTGTTATCCATAATGAAGCGCGCTGCCAGTGGATATACCGGTAATGAAAAGAAGAAAGTTTTGTTACATTTTGTCCTGTCCCTTTTTTAGATCAAATGTCCCTGTTTTTGGCTCTAGACTAGGAGTCCCTAATTCAGGAAAAGTGGACTAGACAGGCCTGGGAGAAACAAGTGTGGAGAATATTATTTTACTTATGTTTTAAAACAGTGGAGTCGGCAACAGAGCATGGTTAAATTGAAAAACTGACAAAAGGAACGAAAATAAAAACCCTTACTTTTTTCTTTTCTATTTAAATAACCTTTCTAAACCGAAAACCCAGCTAAACCAAAGAAAATCTGGCGGTCCCACAAATTTCGGTTTAATCAGAATCCACTGTACTTGGTTATTTCCCTTTGGCTTTGATTGTGATTACTTTCAACTCCCAAATCTCTGTTTTAATTAATCTGTGCAAAATTGCTTCCCTTCAACTATGAGATCTACTGTGATGTTTTGTCTCTGCCTTTTTTTTTCTTTTATCGTTCTTTGTCTTTACTCTTATGATGCCCCACTTTCGAAATGACCTGTTTATTGTAACTGTTTTGTGCTTCCTATAGCACAATTCAGATAAAGACTCAAAAAAATGTGAGGCATTGTGGTGAAATCAGGCGCTCGTCAAAATAACAAAATTGGAGAGACAGGCATTTTTCCGTTAGTTTGAAAATTTTTATAGAATTTTTATTCTTTGGCTTAACCTCTTTGATGTCAATATAAAAATACATTTCCATATGAATTTTACTGAAAAAATGTTGATCTAAGTTACAAAATATGTCATTTTTCTGTTTTCAAAGACTTTTAGCTATTGGACTTACCAAACTTTGGTGGCTATTTTCTCGCAAATTTCACCCCTGAAACCAGGCTACCTCACTTTCTTCTATCGCAAATATCTTGAGTTCTGATAGATGGATATTTATTTCTTTGAAAGCAAGGCAAATAAGTCAGCTTTCAGATGATACCAATAACTCCACATGCCAAAAAATTGACGAGCGCCTGATTCCAACGCATCGTGACACCAATAGTTTTTTCAGGTAAGTACTTTTCTCTTATCATTTGTGTGCCAAGGCGAGTGCCCCACTATTAAGCCTCTTATGCAGGTGACTTATTTGTGTTTTGTAAAGCATCATTCTCTTACAAAAAGAAAAATTCAAGGTGTTGCAAAGGTGCTGTCTACTCTTTCAGAGTACGAGGAGGCAAAAGAATGGGTGGCAGAACGCCTTACATTCAATGTGGACAGATACGTAAACCTCTTTGAGATCTCCATACGTAACCTGGGCTCCCTGCTTGCTACTTACCATCTGACTGGAGACGAGATCATGAAGGAAAAGGCGGTGAGTGGGAGGGCAAGGCAGTTTTTTCCTTGTTTTTCCTCTTATGAATTTGATAACATAGGTCTCAAGTGGGTACTACTTAATGATTTTCAATCACAACTGAATATAATATTGCCTGTGAAAATTATGGTTAATGCAGTTGGAATTCTTGTTAATCTTCCTGCAATCCCCAAAGTTTCAAAATTGTTTCTCTGATCAATCTTCCAGGCCCACTCTATATCTGACTAAAGCATGGCATGTTTCTGGCTAACAATTTTGTCATTTGTCTTCACCTGACAATAAAGCACATTCTGAGCTGGCTTTCGCCAGACTGTAGGAGATCGGTGATGGCTGTCTTGTTTTGATTTGACTTTTGATTTGATAATCATACATCAATGGAGAAAGGGTTTTTAACTCATTCGCTACGCCGAGCCGTGGGGGTCGGCGCGGCTAGAGTGCCGTCAGTACGTTCAATTTTAGCTTGGTTTCTATTCCAATCCACATATCCATGTTAAAATAAAGGTCATAATACAAAGTTGACTTCCGGGTCAAGTGTTTCCACCGAAATTCGGAGTTTTGATTCAGCTTTGAAACACGATTTCGAAGTTTATGCGACATTGTTTTATCGTGAAGCCCAAATTATAGCCAGACACCAGTCTTTGTACTTTTACACAACAAAATGTATCATTATTTTGCTCACTAAAGAAGTGTAGGACTCTTCTTATAATATTGATACTACTGGACTCCAATTGCCAGTGCACTGTAATTGAGAAATCAATATTTTTGAGTGCTAGATCCAGGCCAAGACCTAAATAGTCAAAATATTTTATTCCTCCCCAAAATCACTACTTTTTGGTGAATTTACTCAAAAAGTACCATCCAAGACATGTATAGGTTTATTCCAAATGCAATTCTGAATAATTCCATATAAGATACGAGTGTTTTTTTCTGTTTGGGGCCCTTTTTTCAAAATTATTTTTTTTTTTTTTTTTTTTCAATATCGGAGGTTATGATCCAAATGTACAAATATTATGGAATGTATGTAAATAACTGCTCATTTTTCAATATTTTCCTGTTCTATATACAGTTATGGTTATTTTGATGTATAATTTGACTAGGTGCAAACATATTTTTTGAGTTTCAACTGAGATTATAAGTTTTTTGTTTTCAAATTTTATCCACAGCCAATCACAATTGTGTTGCATAATCGCCTCTTACAGGAACCAAAGTTGAACAATACTCAAATAAACAATACAGATGTATTCTACAAACCATACTGAAAATGTTGGTATATAATATGTTGATATTTATTTGAATTTATGGCCCCCAAGACCTGTGAACTGCGCACTAGTCATCATCTCATTTCGCCCTCCCGAAAAAAATTCGTCCACAAGCCGAAAATAATATGTAGTGAATGAGTTAAAACCGGAATAATAATACTGCTGACAATGATAGCGGTTTGTCTGTTTTAAATTTAAGACTAAGAGAGACATATTTACAACTTGACGGTCATTTAGTTTGTGGAAAAAGCAACACAGATGGACTGGAAGTCTATAGAGGAATGGAAAAGAGGTTGGACGAAAAACCTTTTGAATACCTCTAGGGTAAGGCTTTACGCTAGTACAGGGGTCATCAAGCTGCGGCTTGCAGGCCAGATCTGGCCTGTGGGGTCAGTTCATGGCCTGTCATGTGGGAAAGAAAGCATAGAGTATGGGTTTATTATATGCTCTTGCTTTTTCCACATACTAAATGGCCATCATGATGTAGATGTGTTTCTCTTCAACTCGAAGTAAAATACACAATCATTGTCAGCAGTAATCTGGTAGATCTCTGTTACTGGAAAAATACTTCCCCCAGAGTCTGTGAAGTAATAACTCCACCTATCAGTAAAATGGCACATGCATCTCCATCAGCTGTGACTGCGTGAGTATGCAGAACTAGATCTAGGCCTTGCATCAGTGCTCTTTTCACAATCATCATCCGAATCATGAATTCCCATCAACTGTTGCACATCAAAATCATCCTCAGTTGAGATATTTGACTGATGATCTTCAACGTCACTTTCAGGAATGGGAAATAACTCAAAACAGATTTCGCCCTGAAGGACCAGGCAACTCATCGTCAGATACATCACTCATCTTGCTTCTTCAAAACCACCTGCTCTCTCAATTCAGTTTTCAAAATGTTCTACTGTGCAAGCAAACTTTAACACAGCTATTTCCCCTGACTCAGGCAGCAGTACATAATGATAACTGGAGTCAATTCAAAGCAGCGGTTTTCAGCAGTATAGGACTCTAAGGCAGCAGCGGATAGCAGCGGTATAGGACACTAAAGGTTACACTAGTTTTGGGATCTCTACATTAGTAGAAAAAAATACAGTGGCACATCGACTTTTTTAAGCCAGCTTGAATTCTGCGTTAGTAAAAATACAGTGGCGCATCCTTGATGTTATTTCTACAGATTGACCTGGGCACCCGCCTCCTCCCCGCCTTCAACCACAATTCCAAGATTCCGTTCTCCGACGTAAACCTGGCTCATGGTGTGGCTAAGGCCCCTCGCTGGGGGCCGGACAGCAGCACCTCAGAGGTCACCACCATACAGCTGGAGTTCAGAGACCTCAGCAAGGTCTCCGGCGACAAAAGGTTCGAGGTGAGTCTTCAGGCACCAGTATGAAATGTGTCAAATTTTGCACACCTCAATTATTAGCAATGTCGCATTTTGTTGTCAATCTTTTCATATACAACTTTAATGCAATAATGCTGTCATTTCTTGCCAGAATATTAGAGAAATTATTAGATAAGTGTAACGGAGGTGCCACTTTTGAACTGTACCTCCATTGTATGAGACTTTCTATTGCTTTATCTCAGCACTGAATGACCATTATCTTGCCAATGTGCATTGTCTTACTTAAATTTTGTTCTATTTTATGAGCTTATTGCATACCTGCCAACCCTACAGAAAAATCGATAGATCACTGACTTTTTGTCAAACTACTGATACACCGATTTTGAGAGATAACCCAACTTCGTGATTCTGCAGGGTGATTGCCAAGCCCCGGGAATTACCCAGAAATTTGAGGAAATCTGTAAATTGCCCCGAGAAAATTCTTAAAAGTTATCGAATATTTGAAAACCAAATCAGATAACGATCATTTTTGCCGGACGCAATTATGATATTCATTCGGCTTTCCTCGGGCCGAAGGTACATTTCATCTAGCGAACAGGCGGCTATTGTGGCAAGCGGAAGTATATGTGTAATACTGAGGTTTGGTCGGGAAAATCAAGATTTACATTCGCTTTCGTTACCACCCAGAAATTTGCTGGTAGTAGTTTGATAACACAACATTAAGGCCGGTCCCAGAGTGGCTCTGTAGGTCTGACCTGTAGCTCGCCAAGCGCACGCAGTCTGCGTGTCAGCACAGACGCACTGTGCGTTGGCTTCTGTATTTGAGTGAGCGCCCTCTGCGTGTCTGCACAGCCGCACTAGGCTAGAAGCACACAGGCCTACGAATGTAAACAAACAGTCGAAACTAGGTCAACCTTTCGATTCGAAATTTTAATGTAGGATATTGTGCATTTCTTGGGATTTTGTGGTCTAGTGTTGATGCTAGTATCAATATCTAATAGTAAAGCATCTAATAATACTTCTTGCTGATTTTGATGATCTGTGAAGAATTTCAGGCGAGAATAAACACGAAGCGAGGCTGCGTGCGACTCATGTCCGAAGTGTTTTACAACACTGTTGAGTAGCATGTCTGAAGCGTCCTGCAGCTCAGCGGACAACAGACAGACCATACAGCGACGCTGCTCAGGCACACGATAATGTATATGTTCATTTGTGCGGTGTGAGCTAGGTGAGCTACAGGTCAGACCTACAGAGCCACTCTGGGACCGGTCTAATTGTAACATGTAGGTTGTGTATGACAAACGCTGTTTCCCCCTGAAAATATCAATATTTGTCCTCTGCTGTCACTTGTGTAAAAAATAAAATAAAGTTATAGTTATGCAAGCATCTTGTCGGGCTCGCCATCGTGACCGGTCAGTGGACCTGCGCGTTCCATCACATTGTGAGTACCGGAAATTGTAGGGGTCACCTAAGTTCATTAAAAGTCTGAGCGCTGCGAAGTATAGAAGTCCGGGAGGGGGGGAGGGGGGATTATTGTTTTTTTTTTAAAGATACACTCGGGGGAGGGGGGAGGGGGATTGAAAGCATCACCAGGGGACAAAAGCTGAACTTGGAAGCAAATAGTAGTATTCTAAATTTTGATTACTACTGGATCTAGAACTCTCTGCAAAATGCGCGTTGGTGCAGGCCTTGTATGTAATTGGGATCCGTCGTATTCTTACCTTGTAAACTCTGCAGAGGCAAAGGGCCAAGGCTAGGCCTAGGTCATCCAAGGCCGCCCTTTTCTTCGCCTTTTCTTCTTTGTTTCTATTCTTTTTTTTTTTTTGGGGGGGGGGGGGTTCATGTGCATGTATGAATAGGACAGGAACGACACCAACTACTCTACTATAGGGTAAATGCATCTGGAAGTTTTCATATTTGTCTTTTTTTTTGTTTGTTCTTTGTCATTTTCTACATTTGTTTGAAGTCGCAAATACATTCATGCATATTTGATGTTGGTCAAAATATTGATACGGGTCCGCAATTAAGTATGCGGCAAGTGGTAATATAGCCTACCACAGATTTTTTAGGTCAGGTGAAGATTTTTGGACAAAAATTTGTTTCAGCTACAGATTTTGGCCCAGGCAATGTTGGCAGGTGTGTTATTGCATGTCATAGATAATGTTCTAGATTCACTTTATATTGTGGATATTTCAAACTTTACCTTGTTCTTTAATCTTGCAATAACTCTGTTTATTTGTCTTTTTGTTCTTGGGTGGTTGGAGGATGCCATTGGTAGGTCCTGCTTCTTTACTATCCCTCTTTTATGCCGGTCTTTCTTTTTGGCTTTTTCCTGCATACTGTCATTGTGTTGATGTGGTAGTCTTTATTGGAACTCAAACTTGTCTGTCTGTTGTGGCAGCGCGCTGTCCACGAGGTCTCCATGCACGTACATGATCTGCCCAAGACGGAAGGTCTTGTCCCCATCTTCATCAGCGCCAATTCCGGAGACTTTCGTGCATCTGGCACGATCACGCTGGGTGCCCGCGGAGATAGCTACTACGAGTATCTCCTCAAGCAGTGGGTTCAGAGTGGGAAGAGACTGACAGTGTGAGTTATTGTTAGGTGTGTTTGGCACGTGTGTTTTACGTCTCAATCAACGCTCTTCAACATTATTTTGTTGAGCAGTTCAAGTTTGCCTTTGGCCTTTGTTTTATAATAGAGTAATCCAATCTTCAGATTTTCCATTCTCGGAAACCTTGGGATGTGGGTGGTTGGCGGGTGCTCTAGTGTGGTTTGCTGCTGCTTGTTTCCCATCAAGCACTATTGTCTTTATCTCCCCTCCTTCTTTTTTATGTTTGTTACTCTCTTGTAACACCTCTAAGCTTCTGGCGCTCATATAACCGTATGCAGTTACGAGCGCTGTAAAACTTCTACTAAAACAAACCTTGGGATACAGTGTAATGAAGGACTTTTGTTGGATGTTAGGATTCTGTGTGCATAAATCTCTTGTTCATGTTTTCTCAGTCCGTTTTGTATTTTGGTAGAGAGGGGCATAAATATTTCCTCTTTTAGACTAATACCTAAAGTTAGCTGGAGGCTGTAAATAATCCATTATCTCCCGATTGGTTGGATATCATTCTTATGCCCCACCTGTCTGGTGACATGTTTTGTTCAGGCTTTGTTTTGTTCTGCATTCTTTTGTGCCTATCTGTTGACTGAGGGTCAAATCTATGAGAAAAAACCTCAAGCCTGCTTTCTGAAACCCAACAGTGTGAGTGCCTTCTTTGAAATAACTTATTTTTGTCTTGTCCAGATTTGCATTTTACACTTTTTTTTAAAAGTTCTTTGTGGGATATAAGTGGCGTCGGTGGCCTAGTGGTTAGGCTCTCGGACTCGCAACCGTAAGGTCGTGGGTTTGAATCCCGTCAAGGGCCCGACGTTGTGTCCTTGGGAAAGGCACTTTACACGAATTTTCCTCACTTCACCCAGGTGGGAATGGGTACCCGGCTATAGACAGCGAAAGATCTTGTCAGTTTGTTAGTGTTTGAGCGCTTAATCGGCTGCTTGCACTGTATGCTTCCCGGGAAGCTGAGAATGTTTCGGAGTGTTCTATGGTCTGCTGGGGTAATAATATAGTGTAAAGCGCATAGAGCCTGCTGCTGAGTGGGGATATGCGCTATACAAATGCTATCTATTATCTATTATAAGTAAGCAGGAAATTAAGCAAAAAAGTTAATCCTTTTTTTTTCTACTTTTATGCTATTGTCAAAAAACGGACAAACTGTAAGTCGATTCTTCTTTTTCCAGATTCAAAGACGATTTTGAGGAAAGTGTACGCGGTATGAAGAACAAACTGCTCCGACGATCGGAGCCCAACAAACTTCTTTTTATTGGAGAACTGCTGAATGGGAGAAACTTCAGTCCAAAGATGGTAAGTTGCTGGATGTCTCATGTAGTGCTGTGCATTTGTGTCATGTTGGGCTCATCATTCAAACAACTATGTTCAGTTCCTGTCTTTGCCAGGTTGTGTGTCGTACTCCTTGTAAAGGCCTTAACCCTTAAAACCCTGAATTCTTTTTTTTCATACCTCCCTAGAATCCTGAATTAAAATTGAGATACTAGAAAAAATTTGGTTGGTTCATTGTTTTGTTTACTGTGTTTTTAATTGTTGTTAGATTTTACTGAAGTTGTGAAAATGTTATTTATATGTGAATGCACAGTCTGGACAAAAGGGGAAAAGGTTAAAACACTGGTTTTTAGGACCAACTCTATGAGTTGAGTCTTGTGTGTGATCCCCGACTCCACTTCAGTCAAAGTATCATTAGACCCAGCCGTAAATCTAGCCTCTGGTAGCTTTAGTGGTGATCCCCTGCCAATTCCACTATCGTCAAAATCATCATCGATGTTATGCAGAACATAGCAATTGTCTTCAACGGTCATATTTATCGATATATCCGACTGGGAGATCATTATTGGGGTCTGATTAGGATTAAAAATGTCAAAAATTTTGCGGCCTGATGGGCCTGGCAGCGAAAAGTGACTAATTTTTCTTAAAAACTCGCAAAATTTCCAAACTTTCGGTGTAGAACTGCTCTCATGACATTATCGGTACTTTCTGCTCGCGACAGAGTCATCTGGAGTTACATCCCCTGTTTCTAGCACTGGGAATTAAACGATAAAGTTGACCAGCAGTTACCAGCGGTATAGGAAAATACGGCGTCAGCGGTTACCAGCGGTATAGGGTTTTAAGGGTTGACCTAGTTGTCTCGCCACCTAGCTGTGAACAGATACCTGTCTTGTTTGTTTTGTTTTAGTAAGAGTTTCATGGAGTTCGCCACTGCAAGATACCTGTCTGTCTACCAAGGTTGAAATAATATGTGAAGTTTAACCTATGCTCTACACACATCTAACTGCCTCTACTCCTCAAGACAACAATTAGAACAGACATGCAGCTATTACAGAATGGCATCATGCAGAAGAGTTAATGCTCAGATGCTACTGGATCGCCAAACCACAACAACTACAACAACAACAACAACCAATGCTCTTAAGAGGCTATACTTCACGTAACTATGTTGTATGTAACCTGTCATATCATGTGTGTTATTCTTAAATCATGTGAGTAAAGGACATAATGTGTCACATATGTATCTCAACGTGTGTGTGTGTTTCTCAGGACCATCTTGTGTGTTTCATGCCCGGTACACTTGCCTTAGCCCATCATAACGGGCTGAGTCGTGAGTACTTTGAGTTGGCGGAGGAGTTAGTGAGGACTTGTTGGGAGATGTACAACAAAATGCCGACCCGTCTCAGTCCAGAGATTGTTTATTTCAATCTGGCCCAGGGTGCTGCGGAGGACCTCATTGTTAAGGTATGTGCGCACTAGTGTGCTTGAAGGTGGTGAGGTTGATATCGTCAATGTCGCAAGCATTGCACTTAAGTCCGTTCATGTACCTTTTACCACAGATACAAGAAAACAATTTTTGTTGTGTTGTTCTTACATGGAATCTTGAAAAGCAAGAAAGTTGTGAGCCTTGACCATAGCATTTAACTGCTTTTTAGTGATGTTTAAAGGTGCATCTTTAGTAGATGTAAAAACAGAAAATTCTCAAAATTTGGACTTAAGTAGAGCTTGCGACAGCGGCGATATGTACGGGGGGGGGTTTTCAGGGCACAAAGGATGGCCTCAATGTTAGAATGTTTGTTTGATAGTGTTTAATTTTCATTAGTGTTCTTCAAAATTGTAAATGTTTTATATCCCAATTGATACAGTTTTGATCTCAGTTCCAGAGACTGGCTGCTTTGGTCGTGGCTGTCAGGGCAAACCTTGACTCAGTGAAAGGGAGACAGCATCTAAGCTGAAAGATAAAGTACTCAATAGAATAAACTTCCGCTAGAATTGAACTCACTCTCACGTGCAAGGGCGAAGAGCGTAACCATAGAATATGTCACGGCCTGATGAAATCAGGTGCTCATCAATTTTTGGGCATATTTATGTCACCTTAAAGCTTGGTCATTTCTCCTGCCTTTGATTTTTTCAAAATTTCCCATCTATCTTTAACTGAAGTTGAGTTATTTACAAGTGAACGGAGTTGGGGTTGCCTGGTGCCAGAGGTAAAAAGAACAAGAAAATGGCTGCCAAAATTTGGTGATTTCCAACGCCTGAGTGTCCTTTTGAAACTGCAACGTTTAAGTTTCTGTGCCTTTGATCAATGCTCTTCTGTAAAAGTCCATGCAGGAATGTGTTTTTAATTTACAAACTGTTTTTAAAAAAAGCGATAAAAATTGCCCAATGGGTGGAAAAATGTTGGGGGGTTTTTTATTTGACTTCTTTGACGAGCTCATGATCTCACCATGATGCCACACAAATACCATTGTGTTGGGATGCCACTCATGAGGAAAAGACTCTCCAGTATATTATATAATAATGATAGTAATTAAAATTATAGTAATACTACTAATAATAATACATAGCATTTGTATAGCACAAATTCACTCTCAACAGCAAGCTCTATGTGCTTTATAATCTATATTATTAACCAGCAGACCTGATAGCATTCTGAAACAATCTCAACTTCCTGGGAAACATACAGTGCGAGTTGCCATTTTAAAGGTGCTAAAACACTAACATACTAACAAGATCTTTTGCTGTGCATTGCCGGGTACCCATTCCTACTTGAATGATGTGAGGAAAATTCGTTTTAAGTGCCTTTCCCAAAGTCAGGCCTGAAGTTCGAACCTCCAAATCTGCAAGGTCATGAAATGAGTCCAGTAGCCTAACCACTAAACTACCAACGCCATATATAGACTGTACCTTTTCTCCATACTGTCGTTGTTGTCAGTCCAGTTCTTTGTGCTTTGTGAATGCAGGGTCCATTCAGCGGGAAAGAAAAAATAGACCCATGGGACGTGATGGTGTAAAGACATGACCTACTTAATATTTTTTGGGAATCTACTTTATAAACAGTGAAAGATTTGGTCGGTTTGTTTGTGTTTTAGTGCTTTATTGGCTGCTTGCACTGTATGCTTCCTAGTAAGTGGAGAATATGTCTGTGTTCTAGGGTCTGCTGGGGTAATGATCATTGTAAAGCACACAGTGCATGCCATAGAGCATGAATGGACGCTATATAAATGAAACTTTTATTATTATAATTATTATTATTATTTTTTGTTTTAATTATTATGTTTTCAGAATGATTACTATTAATATTATTGTTATAATTATTATTTTGTTATCATGATCATTATTACTATTATTATTATTATTATCAGTATCATCATCATTATAACTTTACATGACATACAAGAAAAGAAAAAAAGCTCCTGCCAAAAAGAAGAGAAAAGTATTTTTCTGTCGTCCTCAGCCTCTGGACGCCCACAACCTTCTCCGGCCGGAGACATTGGAGAGCCTGTTCTACATGTACCGGTTCACGGGGGACAAGAAGTACCGAGACTGGGGCTGGCAGATCTTCCTGGCCTTTGAGAAACACACGAAAGTTCCTGACGCCGGGTACTCCTCCATCCACAATGTGAAGGACGCAGGGAATCCCAGGTTCCGAGACAAGATGGAGAGTTTTTTCCTGTCGGAGACCTTGAAGTATCTCTATTTACTATTCAGCGATGATCCAAACTTGATCTCGCTAGATAAATTTGTGTTTAATAGTGAAGGACACCCGCTTCCTATAGACAAAGTGGCTGAGGCAGAGTTATAGAAATGGTTATAGTGTCTGTTAAAGATTGGGTAGTTTAGGTTACCTCACCTAACAGTTTGATGGTGTTTTGGCTTAAGGTGTTTCTCTGTATTTTGACTGGGGATCATTTGCCAAGTTGAAATTTCTTTTTCTTCTTCTTCTTCTTCTTCTTCTTCTTCTTCTTCTTCTTCTTCTTCTTCTTTTTCTTCTTCTTCTTCTTCTTTTTCTTCTTCTTCTTCTTCTTCTTCGTCTTCTTCTTCTTCGTCTTCTTCTTCTTCTGCTGCTACTTCTCCTACTCTTTTCTTTTTGTTCTCCCCCTACTCCTGTTCATCCTTTCTTTATCGTTGCCTCTGAGACCACAGGTTTTTGAGCCTTTCGTGTCAGTAATTATTACTGACGTTACGTCTATGCCCTATTTTTTTCTCTTGATCATAATGTCTCCTGCCTTTCACTCAGCCATATGATGTTTTTGAGGGGTTTCTCATTCATTTAGACTGACCAGAGTTCCTACAGATCATGGTAGGCATTGATTTAGAATATTTGTTAGGGGATTCAGGCTTGCTCTGCCATCTTCAGCTTGCAGAAAGTTGGTGTGTCCAGTATTTCCCACCCGTACATTCTTTACAGTGAACATGGTGTGCCGTACCAAATGCCATAAAGGAAGTATCAAAACAACTTGATCCCATATAGGCTTAGTGGGCCTGTTCTGTAATTCTTTTGCCAGTTCAAGCGCAAAGGAACAACTTAGATGGGACTATGAAATCGTGTGATCAAACTGAAGGATATGAGAATTGCCTAAATTGCAAAGTCTTGGGGAGAGAGAGAGAGATAGTCTTTCATTCCCTTCCTTTGTTTTAAATCCATAATGGGTCATTCTTGAAATATGGTTAAATAAGCTTGCAGCATTTATAAGGGCATAAAACCTAAAATATATCATCAGTCCAGTAGCCTAACCACTAAACTACCAACGCCATATATAGACTGTACCTTTTCTCCATACTGTCGTTGTTGTCAGTCCAGTTCTTTGTGCTTTGTGAATGCAGGGTCCATTCAGCGGGAAAGAAAAAATAGACCCATGGGACGTGATGGTGTAAAGACATGACCTACTTAATATTTTTTGGGAATCTACTTTATAAACAGTGAAAGATTTTGTCGGTTTGTTTGTGTTTTAGTGCTTTATTGGCTGCTTGCACTGTATGCTTCCTAGTAAGTGGAGAATATGTCTGTGTTCTAGGGTCTGCTGGGGTAATGATCATTGTAAAGCACACAGTGCATGCCATAGAGCATGAATGGACGCTATATAAATGAAACTTTTATTATTATAATTATTATTATTATTTTTTGTTTTTATTATTATGTTTTCAGAATGATTACTATTAATATTATTGTTATAATTATTATTTTGTTATCATGATCATTATTATTATTATTATTATTATTATCAGTATCATCATCATTATAACTTTACATGACATACAAGAAAAGAAAAAAAGCTCCTGCCAAAAAGAAGAGAAAAGTATTTTTCTGTCGTCCTCAGCCTCTGGACGCCCACAACCTTCTCCGGCCGGAGACATTGGAGAGCCTCTTCTACATGTACCGGTTCACGGGGGACAAGAAGTACCGAGACTGGGGCTGGCAGATCTTCCTGGCCTTTGAGAAACACACGAAAGTTCCTGATGCCGGGTACTCCTCCATCCACAATGTGAAGGACGCAGGGAATCCCAGGTTCCGAGACAAGATGGAGAGTTTTTTCTTGTCGGAGACCTTGAAGTATCTCTATTTACTATTCAGCGATGATCCAAACTTGATCTCGCTAGATAAATTTGTGTTTAATAGTGAAGGACACCCGCTTCCTATAGACAAAGTGGCTGAGGCAGAGTTATAGAAATGGTTATAGTGTCTGTTAAAGATTGGGTAGTTTAGGTTACCTCACCTAACAGTTTGATGGTGTTTTGGCTTAAGGTGTTTCTCTGTATTTTGACTGGGGATCATTTGCCAAGTTGAAATTTCTTTTTTTCTTCTTCTTCTTTTTCTTCTTCTTCTTCTTCTTCTTCTTCTTCTTCTTCTTCTTCTTCTTCTTCTTCGTCTTCTTCTTCTTCTTCTTCTTTTTCTTCTTCTTCGTCTTCTTCTTCTTCTGCTGCTACTTCTCCTACTCTTTTCTTTTTGTTCTCCCCCTACTCCTGTTCATCCTTTCTTTATCGTAGCCTCTGAGACCACAGGTTTTTGAGCCTTTCGTGTCAGTAATTATTACTGACGTTACGTCTATGCCCTATTTTTTTCTCTTGATCATAATGTCTCCTGCCTTTCACTCAGCCATATGATGTTTTTGAGGGGTTTCTCATTCATTTAGACTGACCAGAGTTCCTACAGATCATGGTAGGCATTGATTTAGAATATTTGTTAGGGGATTCAGGCTTGCTCTGCCATCTTCAGCTTGCAGAAAGTTGGTGTGTCCAGTATTTCCCACCCGTACATTCTTTACAGTGAACATGGTGTGCCGTACCAATGCCATAAAGGAAGTATCAAAACAACTTGATCCCATATAGGCTTAGTGGGCCTGTTCTGTAATTCTTTTGCCAGTTCAAGCGCAAAGGAACAACTTAGATGGGACTATGAAATCGTGTGATCAAACTGAAGGATATGAGAATTGCCTAAATTGAAAAGTCTTGGGGAGAGAGAGAGATAGTCTTTCATTCCCTTCCTTTGTTTTAAATCCATAATGGGTCATTCTTGAAATACGGTTAAATAAGCTTGCAGCATTTATAAGGGCATAAAACCTAAAATATATCATCACAATTCTGTGTAAAAAGGTTGGTTTATAAGGTTTAGGGAAGTAACGGTTTTTTGCTTTCTTTTTAACTTTTGGGAAGGGGGGAGGGTGGGCGGGAGAAGAGGATTTGTTTTTCTTGTGCTATAGGTTCTATTTTTTTTTTCACACAATAAGATGTGGGGATATTTTTTACATATCCTGTGACCTAAGGGTGAATGTTGTATAAATCTTTTTTTCCATGATATTTTATTTATTTCATGAAACTGAAGCTTTTTGCATCGACCTTAGAACTTAAAATTGATGAGTTTTCCTTCGAAAGTTCAGTTGAAATTGAGGGATCAATACAGTGGAACTCGGATTTAACGAGCTCGGATTCAACGAGAACTCGGATTCAACGAGATGAGATAGATTCCCCGGTTTTTTCTTCTTTAAAATCAATAAAAGTAACCCGGATATAACGAGCACTTAAATCAGCGAGCTCAGATTCAACGAAGTCGCTTCCAGGGTGAACAGCCCCTGCAGACGTGGCTTCGCTGATTGTTCTCCCAGAACGAACTTTATCTATTCCTGGAAACCATTCATTGCACCTGCATCGTGAACCAGTTTTTACTTAACCGATTGCATGCGACCAATCAGCGGCCTTTTTCAATACCAACACTTGTGTTGTTGGCACGCGCACGTGTCTACTCTGGCGTGTGTCGGGGTCGGATGGGCGGCTTGCACATGTGTGACTGTGTCAACTGTGTGTGTGTGTGTCGAGGAGGGCACTAGCGGTCCGGGCGTTGAACGTCGCATAATATAATATACAAACGCGTCACAGTCTTTTTTTCCCTTCGGCAACTGATCATTATTACAATAATAAGCTAGTCTTGACGTAGATCTATGTAGTGATTTGTGCGCTAGTCTATGGAATCAAAAGTTGCCATATGATAGGCTCTACACAGCAACTCAACTTTTTGGTCAACAATCGAGATGACACAGGTGTGTGTATTTGAACGAATCGGTCTTTTTTTTACACAGCTCATAATATGCAGGCATTTCAGGCACTACTTTTGACTTCTCTTGTACATTACTTGCTCAGTGCTTGTACATGTAATTATCTACACAAAACCTCGTGTTTGCTATAACGAACACTCGGATTCAACGAGATTTTAGGTCAGGTCTGACGACCTTGTTGAATCCGAGTTCCACTGTATTACCGAAACAAATATGTGCACTAAAAGCTGCTCTGAACATTTTGTGTCCTTTTTTTTGTGTGTTTGTTAGGGATATTTTTATATTTCAGTGATTTTCTAAATCTCCTTTTGACAATTTGTGTTTAAGGGTAATGAATGCTTTGCAGACTTGTTCCAAGCATTATTGTTTACTATGTAGGACTGAGGGTAAAATATGGCCAGTCCGGAGCAAGAACATTCCATCCTCTGACTGCGTTATCTGCTTACTGAGGTACGACATCATGTTTGAAAAATGTAGAGAATGTAGAGAGCTATGCTGTTACAGCCAGTTTGATTTCGTTATATGTGACAGTCATTCCTGTCTATGTGTCTGATGTAACTGTTTCATCATTATTTTCTCTTACAATTTATTTCTTAAAAGTGCTCTAGATCTAGGTGGCAACCCTAAGTTTTTTGGACAGATAACTCTTTTGTGACAATTTACACTACACATCATGTGAGTCTTCGCGACATATTGTGGCTGCTCGACTCATTGACTATCAAATGCATGATACATTGAGACCAGCAACACTCTGATCAACCTCAAGAAATACCGTGACCGACCAAAGGTCACATGATCATGATGAGTTGTGGCTCATACATGTGTATATATATAACTCACACTGACTTGCTGCTGTACACAAGAGTAATCTCACAATCTCAGGGAACTATTGTTCTAACATTAGTGGCTGAATGGGTTCACCATTAGTATTAGCTCAGCTGGATATTTGTGTTCCTCTGATGCAAATATTCTGAGTTCGAATCTCCAATGAGGTGTTCTTGAATGTGATTTGCTTTTGGGAGTTTTCAGGGCTTTCTATCTCCTTGGCTTGACCCTATTTGTAACGATGGATTAACTTATAAATCAGAATTCCTACTTTTTGAAAACTTTCACCGTGTTTGAAAAGACGTCTTATCCTTGCCATAATGTCAGTGACAAACACCTTTCTCTAGAATGATAGTCATATAAGGGAAAATGCCAGTGCCATATGTTTTAGAGCCAGCAAAAGTGATTGGTATGTTTTAGTGTTGAGTTCTTACCACAAAATTTTGAATTTGCAGATAAACGAGCAACCGTTTCTAATGTCCGCGAAGAAATGATTGGCTTGCTGGATCAAATTGTGGGCTGGCAGAGGTTTACTTGTATATTGCAATGGTTTATTATTTTATTCACTGCTCACTTAAGCAGTCTCTGTTCATTTTTGACGTGATAATGAGCAAGCGAAATGAGCCTTCGATGCTGATCTTAGCTGTGTGCACAAGTCAGCTTGCTTGCTCGCTCACGATGACTCAACTCAATGTTACTTTGTGTGAGTTAGGGACCAACACAGCGACATAGCCAGTCCCTTATAACATCTATCGTTTTTATCTTTCTTCCTTTTTTGTGTTTGTTACTCTCTTGTAATGCTTCTGTCTTCAGCACTTACATGACCTTATTGTGTTGCAAATGCTGTAACACTCTTACTAAAACTTTTTTTAAAGGATGGTATAAGTGAATCCTGTAACCTAATGCTCACAAACCAGTTAGATTGACTCCCAGGGGAGAGCTTTTTCTACAAAAAGGGTTAAATTTGACTTTGGGAACTTTTTTATGTGTCTGTTTTATAGTTAAAATTACATGATGTGTACGCGTTAGGAAGTCTGTACTTTCTCTAGTCCGATAAGAAAATGGGTGAATGTTGTTCATTCCGTTAACTTTGTCCTAAATCACATTGTCGTTGTGTTTTGATTACTAGTCGCTGTAGCTCACGTGTGAGCAGATGTTTTAACCCAAAACAGCAGAACTTAGAATTCGACAGAGTGGATTGAAGAGTTTAATTTTTAATGATGCTGTCATTTAAAAATTAATTTTATGCATAGGAAAGTGTTTAGTCATTACTTACACTTATATGTTTTTATAATGGAGGATGGAGGAGCTCAAAATGCTCTCCAAAAGCAGTGGGTGTAAATTATGCTGAGAGATAAACAGGTCAAAGGAATGTTAAAAACTTCAGTTTTCAGGGTCTTTATGATTGCAGAAGTCTGCATTCTTCAGAAATAGATTAATTTCACTTTGATGTTTGACTCTGTACAATTGTCTGTGATTTAGTTGGGGGGGGGGGGGTTTGTTACTCATTACCTCCAAAAAAAGCTGCTTCCAGCAGTTGGCGGTCGGAACCACTGTGCTGGTTAGCTGCTGGCAGGGGCTCAGGCATATATTTTCTTTTTTTTTACAACGATTTTGACATCAAATTAGTGTTAGGCAGTTGCTGAAATCAGGTCTCTTTTAGTGGGATTTTTTTTTTTCAGTGGATAAAGGACCTTCAAAATTAGTTCATTTGTTTTGATTTAATGACCAATGTAGTGACGCAAAAGTCACTTTAAGATTTTGTACCAACAGTGGGCCACGACATCATAGATAAAGAGGTTGAAAGAGTGAATTCAAGGAAGGTGCATAAGATTTCAGTGCAGGATTTAATCAATGGTCTTGCAGTGGATGTCTATAGGTTCTTTATGAATGTTGAGAATACCACTTTGACTTAGCCAGGGGTACCCACTTCCCAAATCAGACAGTGCACCATTATGTTGACAGGGTGTTTGTGAATAATAATAATAATATTGTCTCAAAGTTTGTCAACTGCTCTTAGTCATACACTTTGTCATAAGGTGGCCTGGGATTTTTGTTTGTTTGTGTCGTTTTTTAGTTTACTTTCGTTTTTTGTCTGCCAAGCCTTTCTATATGTGTAAGGATATTTCACTTGTGATAACGAACTGCAGTGTTTGTTTCTTAAAACTATTTTTAGCAAAATATTTTGAGTCCAAAGTTGTTCATCTTTTTCATGGGTGGTTGGTAGGTGCTCTGGAGTAATTTACTCCTTCTTTTCTATCCTACATTTATCGTCCTTATTTTTTAATTTTTTTCTTGGTATGTTTGATGTTACTTGTGATCGATTTTTTTATTTTTTTTTGACTCAACACCTTTGATGTCCATTTGAAAACATAATTTTTGTGTGGATTTTACTAAACTCTTAAGCTTTGAAGGTGTCCTTTTACTCACTAATTTTTCCTCTGAAACCATGAACCATGCAACCCCCACCTCCTTCAGTCAAAAATAACTAGACTTCAATTCAAGATAGAAGGGTATTTTTCTCCCGAGAAGCAAGACAAATGAAAAAGATTTAAGAAGAAACTGCTGGGTTGTGACACACATTGGTTTTCCGTCTGTGAAATAAGTATTCTCTAGGAAATCAACAGTTTATCGTTGGGTGCGCAGTTATCTGGACACTGCACCTGGTGGATTTTTCAAATGTGAGGCTTTGTGGTGAAATCAGGCGCTGGTCAAAATAATGAAATCGTAGAAACTGGCAATTTTTGTGGAATTTTTTTTGTTTTTTTGGCTCAACATCTTTTATATCCTTTTATAATCACATTTCTGTGTGGATTTTACTGCAAAATGTTGATTAGAGGTATAAAACTGTAAATTTTCAGTTTCCAAGGACTCTCAAGCTATGCAAGTCACCAAACGTTGGCGTCCATTTTCTTGCTTATTTTACCTCTGAAATCAGTGATCCCCACTTCCTGCAATCGCAAATATCTTGATTTCTTTTCAAGATAGATTGGGGGGGGTTTTCATTAAATCAAGACAAAGGAACAAGCTTTAAGATGATACCAATAACTCCCAATGCCCAAAAATTAAAGAGCGCCTGATTCCACTATGTCGTGACACAAATGTATTTATATGTCTTTTTTTTTTTATGTTATTGTCTGCAGCGGTCAGAGATAGTTGTTCTTTTTTACTTTCTTTTCTCAGAATGTTTTATTTTGTTCTTTAAATTGTTGCCAGCATTGAGATGTATAATTTTGAATAGACCTTTGAGAGTCATAAAATGTATAGGTAGACAGGATATACTTAGAGAAAGAGTAGGCCTATGCTTTTTGAATACCGTACCATTTTTTAAGTGATGTCAAATACAGTGGGTGTCGCATTCAACGAGGTCACATTCAAAGAGAAGTCAGCTCCAACGAGGCAATCCTTTTTCCCTGATTTTTCCTCTATATCTCTTTGTAAATGTAGGAGACCAAAGTCGCTGTCAACCAGGTCGCAATAACCAAATAAAAGCAATTAGCGGCCCCAAAAGCGAAAAATGTTCCTCCTTTCGTTACATCTCACGCGAAGCACAAGGCCCATCCTCGATTCCTAACACATTGTATTGCT